GCAAACACAAACACTAATTATTGTTAGGGCCGGTTAGAACCTCATGTAAATCTTTCATTTTAAATGTTGATTTCATTTTCCTCCGGAAATCAGACGAGCCATGTTTTGAGAAAGTGTCAATTACATAAAATGTACACAGGCTTAAAATGTGGGGAGAAGCAAATTTGATTTCTTGAGGACTTAGGGCTGGAGTGATGGCTTCTTATGATGCTGATATTTACTTTGTAAGGGAAATATCTGACTTTAATCTCGATAAAATCGTAAAATATCATCTCCGACTTAATTCGTTATATCTAATTATTCCATCAAAATCTCTATGGTTGCTTTGTCCGTGTGATTTTCAGATAGCAAATGTATCCGTTTACTAGTTCGAAATATCGGTGGTCTACGATTTTTCGTGATATCCATAGATCAGGGCAAACTTTTAGCAAATTTCTTTATCCAGAGCAAGAATTATCAATATCTTGGAAATACTTCCAACAATCATATCTGATAAGTATCTATTAATATCCGGAGATTCTATCTTATCCTAGACACGACACGTGTTCTAAAATTCTTGTAGGTTGTTCAGAATAAAGTCTCTTTCTATATCCCTGGTTATTATGAGAATGTGGGGGAAGCCGTCTTTCGAATGAGCTACACCTTGGCTTAAAGTATTGTAAAAATGCTTTTGTACATTTGTATGTCTCACATCAATGTTCGCATTCATTGCAACAGACTCAGAATTTAAGCATCACTAGGGTTATATTTATATTTGGGGTTACTGATCAGCTCTATTTACCTTTCATCTCCTTAAATCTATTGAGAATGGAGGCTTAGTCATTCCAGCTGCGCTGAAAAACTATGGCCACCACACCAAAAGCATCAGACTATTGTTTCATCTGCTTACATGCATATGTAATGACGCTTTAAACTCTGAGTCTTCAAATGGGTTATTTTATTACTGGCCGGAAATCATAACCGTAGCAACGAGATGGCAATTTGTAGAAGCTTACTGAGGGAGAAATTAGACCTCTTGATATGACTCGGGTGGTCGATACTGTTCAGTGGGCGAAGCTTTTGTTAGATTAGAAGCTTCAACATAGGTTTAATAATCGAAAATGAAATATTGGGCGTCAAGCGGGAGTGCAACTCTCATTTAACACATTTGGTGCTTTGTCCCCCTGTCTCCCGGCGCTTCGAGCATGTTTTACGGAGAATGGATATGGCGCTGGTACTTTCGTTGTTTGCCACACTGTACTGGCCCTGCATGTCTATTTTTTCCACTCCCTCCTGTGCAGTCTCGCATAGATTATGTTTCTGCTCTATTTTATTCTTCCTTGAGGCACTATTTGCGTCGACCCATTGCATTTCATTTGCATACGCTGCACCCTCTGTTACTATTTTCCTCGACGTGGTGTCCGAAGGCGCACGTTTGTGGTTTTGTGTCGTGGCTCTCATTCGCAAAACGCTTTTGCTCCACTGGATGTCGAACGTTACAACGCTGAGCTTACCAAGTTACTCCAGTGTAAACATGCGCAAAAATCTCGGCAGCAAGTCTTGATGTTCCTACTGTCGTTGGTCGATGGCAAGAGTTGATTCTAACTGGATAGGATGGTAGCTTCACTGAACAGTAGTAATGGTTTTCAATTGATGTTAATGTGAGTTTTTAACTTCTTGATCTAATAAGTTTAATTTTTAGGAGATGGTGTTCGAAGTGACAGTGTGGCAACACAGGTGACACATGAGTATACACTGCGTGTCGATAGATCGCAAATACGGCTATAATAACTGTTGTGCTGTTATGGTGGAACCCCCAGCATCTGTAGTTACCATGGTATATGATATGAGGAAGCCAAACCAATTGTCATCTTACTCTACAGGTATTTAATCATAATTATAATTGTTGCTGTATATTTTATGAGAGAATGTTTGTGCTTTATCTTACATTCCCTATTTAGGAATTTGTAACTCGTCTGATAGTACTATAAGTGAACGTGCCGTGGATGAGACTGACTTGGAACTACATCATTTCCCGCCATGTTATGAATTGATCAGTCAACGGCAGAGGTTCTACTCGCAGGCCCAATCATCTCGTTTACAAGAGGCTTTAGTCTGGTCAATTTATTTCCCCATTGTTCCCAGTGAAGTTCTAAACGATTAATAAATATTAACATTAGTCAGTGTAAATTCAATTCTTTAATTCCTTCGTTTATAATCTTAGTATTAAGAATGTTGATCTTTTGTTTATTTTTGTTCTGACAGATTTAGTATTTGTGATGCTCCCTCTTCAGACAATATAGAGATGGATTAAGGTGTCTGGTTGAATGCAAACCAAAGTAAGTTGAGTGCAATACATTGTTTGTCTTTACTATAAATTGGCAGAGTGAAAGAAGCATACTTGCCCTTTGAAGCAACATTGATTCCCAAGTTATGTCTTGTGAATTGTAGGTGGTGTATCATCGAGACACAGTGCCAGGTATATGATATTCAATTAGCTTGGTGATCTTAGTGTATTTCAATGTAACCTAAAACAAATTCATAGATACAATATTGTGTCACGTATCATTATTCGCTTATTATAAATCAATTCTTGAATTTCTGCCTGAGACTCATGTTTTGTTGTGTTATGGGAATTTTGGTCTTAGCAGTTGTGTATAGAATTATATTGGTTCTTTGAAAGCTTATGATGAAATGTCTTAACCCCCATGTTTTCAAGAGCTGAAAATTTTGAAGTTGAAAGCCAGAAAAACCTGTACAAAAATGTATTTGTCAATTTTGTGAATTGTGTAAAGGACTATTAAGTTGAGGGCTTAATTTGAAGAAACTCTTATCCTTGAAATAATGGAGATGCCAGTTAATATATCCTCACAAAAATAAAGAAAAATATAGTTGACAAAATAGATTCCTCTAATTTAGCGTCTTATACCACAGTTGACCGTTGTGGCATGTTGGCCATTTGGTGGGTAACTTTTATATCGATAATATCGCTATGTGAAAGGTCTATATAGATTTTTCGGTGACTTGATGTGTAGGCGGGGCAAGTGAGTGATTCCATGGCATCGCCAACCGTAACAATATTTGAGCACCCATTGTTTAAGGCAAGTTCATGAGGTTCCAGCGTGAGAGATTCAGAGATCTTATGCCTGTCGGACTGTAAGTTTGGGAGTTTTTTTATGATTTGGGCCGATATGCACAAATTGATATGCCAATGTGTAACTATATGGTATGTGTATAGTGCAAAAATAGCAAAGAAAATGAAATATTTGTAGCCTAAAAACTTGTACAAATAGTGAGACCAGGATTTTTAGTTTACCCAAGAAAAGAATGCATGCGTAAAATACAGTTTTATTATACGAATGAATGATTTACCCATAAGTGGCACGTTAGCCACAAGAAACAGTTTAGTGTGTGTAAAATTATTGAATAAACAAATGTCATTGCGATATTACAGAAAAACTAAAATAATCATGGTTATGATTGATAGATGGCGATGTGTGATGTGATGATGAGATGTATATGATGATGATGAGGTGAGGATGAGATGATGATCATCATTCGGGCGCATCCTGCCTCCCATCATACATATATAGTAGAGGTTGTAGTGAGTTGCTGTCCGGCCCATAATATATCCATCATCATATATTAGTGAGGTTGAAGGGTGTGTGCTTGCCTGTTGTCCAGAGACTTGATTTTGCTATGAATGCGATCTCTTAATTGTGTTCTGTTTCTACTAAGTGGGAGATGGTGTCCAAGTTTCTAAGATGAAAAGTTTTGCTATGTAATACTTTTTATGTGTTTTGTGGTGGTTGTGATTTGTACATTGTGAATTGTGAATTTTCATTTGTCTTTGAATCCA